AATCCTTTCTTAGTAGCAATATTCAAGCAAACCTAATTCACACATTCCTTTTTTCCCCCTACAAATCTGGTTTTACTAACACATCAGATGTAGAAAAGTTATACACAGGAACACGCGGAAATTATAATCATATGCTGAGTGAAGATTTGAACTAAAAATTACTCCTACTATTTATAAAGGCATTCTCCTGACACCCTAGGACAACTAAACACTGACATAACAGAAGTTACTTTACAGATTTCCTACTTTACATAGCTATTTAAATATCACGAGTTTAATCATAGTTTAATGTAAAGACATTTATATAACAAACCAAAGAAATATTACAAAATTCATTTCAAAACTTAAAATTTAGGGGAATTTAGCATTAACTTTTAACCTCTTTAGATTTGCACATCAGTTTTTACATGGAAAAGTGTAACATAAAAATAATAACTTGGGCTGGGGATTTAACAGTGGCACCGTGCCGGCCTGGCAAGCACAAGGTCCTGAGTTCGATCTCTGATACTGAAGAGAAAAAAAATGATAACTTGTCAAAGTGACAATTTAGCCAATTCAAGGCCGGTGTGGTGGCACATGCCTGTAATCCCAGCACTCTAGAGGCTGAGGCAGGAGGATCGCTGTGAGTTTGAGACCAGCCTGGGCTACATAGTGAATTCCAGGTCACATAGTGAGACCCTGTCTCAAAAAAAAGAAAAAACAACCAAACAAACCAAAAAAAAGACAATTTAGCCAATTCAAACAACACTTTCTAAAGGAGAAAATATGAACAGCAGGTTTCCTTTTTAACCTTTTGGCTATTGGTATAACATTTTATTACACTAAATTAATACGTTTTGAGACATTAAAAAACTCTACCAGGGAAAATTACAAAAACTACTTTCACAAAGATGTAAATTTTAAATTTATTCTCCCTTTAAAAAAAGAAAAAGCACACATGTGCGTGCACATGCACACACACACACACACACACCCCTGGAGTTTGGAATACACCATAGCAGCAATCATGGCAATAAAACAAGCAATTTTGTAGACCAATAAAATCAACCGAAAGGACATAGTAAAATGGTTAAAAGTTTCTTTGTTTCCAAACTATAAAATTTAAATAATTATACCTTCTTCCTAAAGTTGTGCTAATTACTAAGGTACAAACAAAAGACCTGGAGCATATTCAATAAACAGCAGCCATTATGATTATAAGGTATGCACTGAAAATTTGTAAATCTATACCCTAAATAAGTGTTGAGTCTATTTCAAGATATTTTCTGAGATGCCTATTTCCATAGCTAACAATTTTGTCATTTCTCACCAAACACCTTTTTAGATTTCCTCTCATAGTAATCTTTCAGTCAAGATTTATTAAGATGTATTTAGAAAAGCTCATATTACCAGAACTTCATCATCACCAGACAAAAATAATGTAGTGTGTGCATTAATCTTATACATGGCAAGTACACAAATAGTCAAAACCAATCACAGTCATACATTTTAAGATGCAGCTTTCTTAATTTTAAAAATTGTCTTTGAACATATGAATTCTGCTATTCTGTAAAGAACTTCATAGAACAATTAGTACAGCATAGTATTTTACAATTTTGAGTAAAATTGCATTATAAGCAAAGAAAATAAATATTTCAAATGCGTATTTAACTACAGAAATGAAAACTATCTATGTTCTATTAGTCATGGAGAAAATCTAATATCTGTCAGAACTGATCTCAACATTATCTATTTGGTAATCCTGCCAAAATGTTTACTGTAAATCTAAGCATAAAAGACAAACATCATGTTAATTCAAATTGAGGAGCAATCTGCAAAACAACTGGCCTAAACTCTTCCACAACAAAAATGCTATAAAAGACAAAAAATCCCAGGTAAATGTTCTAAATTAAAGAAGACTAAAGAAACTTTCCAACTAAATGCTACAAGTATCTGTGACTGGGAAAATAGTTTATATAGGATATTATTAGGACTACTGAGAAAATTGGAAAGCATATAGGATACTAATGATGGATTCATAGTAAATTTTAAGTATGATAACTGGATGATTATATAGAATGCCCATGTTCTTGAAAGATACACGCTGCACTAGGAGGATGTCTGCAGTCTGCAACTAATGCTTTTGTTTTGTTTTGTTTATTTATTTTTACACTGGAAATCAAACCCAGAGACACACATTAAGCATATGCATTTTACCACTGGGCTACATTTTCAGCTGCAGTGATTGACTTTTAAAATGGACCAGAAAAGGGCCTAGGGATTGGCTCAGGGGTTCTGCCACCTGCCTTGCAAGCGCAAGGACCTGAGTTCAATACCCACATACCCCCCCAAAAAGGACCAGGAAAAAAAATAGAGAGATGATAGATAGAGGGAGAAGCAAATATAACAAGATGTTAACAATTTTTAACATATGTGAATAGTATGTGGTTGTTTATTGTATAATTTTTCAACATTTATAAAACACAAAATTGGGAGTGAAAAAAGCTAAACTATCTAAGTATAGAAGTATATCACACCTTAGTGATAAGTGAGTGATCCTCCTCCTCTTCACCAATGCTTTTCCACCCACATATCCCCTCACAGCACAAGCTGTTTGCTGGCTAAATTGGTTTGTCATTGCTCTGGGTCTGTGTTGTGATGCAGAAACCACTCACACAATAAATCCACTATATTGGTTGGCACATTTTCTTCATAAGAAGGCATTCATTTTCAAGTGCACATGATTTATTTAGTTTAGACCATCTGCGTGCATAGTGTTTTGTTCTTTGACCATTCAAACCAGAACTCATATGTTATCCTAATTAAAATAAAAGTGTTATAAAGGTTTGGAGAGGGATTTTATTGAAAATGAAAAAATGTTCTTTCTCAGTCTGTTGTCAATTGAGGGAACACTACCTGCTTCACAGGATTGCTGTGAGACCTAAGTGAACAAAATGTATGGAAACAGTGAGCCTTAAGTCTAGCATTCAACAAATTTATTGACAAATCAACACACTGCAACAATTATTACTCAATTTTCAAAGAGAAGTTTCTTCTAGGAGCAAGGTAAGGAAAATAGCCAGATATTATACACCAGGACTCACAATTAAGATCATATTTATCATTTTAGTAACAGTGTATAAAATCTCATAAATTATCTTACTATACGTGAAATGATCTCTACTATAAATGTTACTTGGTCAGTAGAGGGCTAGTAGTATGGAAGTTCACACATAGTATTAAAGTACTGTCATTCATTATATCTATAATCTTTAACCCTAAATATTTCTTAGAGTAGATCTCCTCTGGCCTATAGGAATAGTATGTAACAATCCTTTTCCTATTTCATGGCTTCAGCCTTAATACGTCCAAATGATAAATGACCAATAAGTGTCTCCATATTAAAGATGAGAGAACAAAACAGAATGAAAGTTAAAAGGAATGACCATGGAGAGAGGGAAAAATTAATAATGTGTGTATTTTAGCCCATTTGGTATGCTATAATAGAATACCTGAGGCCGGATAATTTATGATGAACCAAATTTGTAGGTTTGCAGTTCTGGAGGCCAGGAAGTATGATGCCAAGATTCTGTCATCTGGCAAGTGCCTTCTTGCTGCATCTTCTCACAGGCAGGAAGGTGAGAGAGAAGAGATCCAAACCTGCCATTTTATAACCAACCAGTTCACCCATGAATCAGGTAGAGTCTTGGTAGCTAATAATCCCTTAAAGAGATGTTATTATGGCAATTAAATTTCATCAAGAGTTTTGGAGGGAACAAACATTCCATGTTTAGCACTACGCAAAAGAAGGAATGGAACTGGGTGAGGTGGCACATACCTGTAATCCTAGGACTCAGGAGGCGGAGGCAGGAGGACCACTGTGAGTTTGAGGCCAGCCTGGGCTATATGGTGAGTTCAAGGCCAGCCTGAATTGTATAGTGAGACCCTGTCTCAAACAACACAAAACAAATACAAAGAACCAAACAAAAAAAGCAAAAGAAGGAATGATTGCTTTAATAAGTATACTTTAGTAAAGAAGGAAGGATGTTAGTCATTTAAAGGTATTCAGACTGTTCATTTAAAAAATAACCTATTTGCCCATCCGTTGGAAACTGGATAAAGAAGTTGTGGTTTTTCTATAAAATGGAATATTACTCAGCCATAAAGAGTGAGAGAATAGATTCATTCATAGGAAAATGGATACATATTGAAGATATACTCCTAAGTGAAATAAATAAGTCACACATGTGTAAATACCAAATAGTTTCCCTGGTGTGAATATTCTGCAACAATGCATAAGATTCTAATAAGATTACTGACATTTAGAAATGGGAGGAAAGGAGCTAAAGGTGTAGGGAAGGTGTGATGCATAGGGGAAGAACAAAAAGGGAAAAGAAAAAAATGTGAGAGAATGAAAAGATGAAAATAAAGTGTTTGTAGATGGGGAGGGGAGGAGGGGGTGAAGGGAGGGCAGAGGTAAGGGGAAAAAATGAGAATCAAGACTTGTCATGTAGAGGTACAAGATCCCAACAATGAATGTAACTGTACTGTGTCCCTAAAATGTACCAATAAACTCAATAAAATTTAAAAAAATAATAATAATAGTTGCCTTGAATGAGACCACTTAAGAGGTGATGTTGAAGATTTGATGAAAGAAGAGAAGGAATAAATTTTTCACTTAAGGGAGTGGGGAAGTAAATGGACTGTAAGAATACAGGACAGTTCTCAGAAATCATTAAAAGTCCACATGAGGTTAATGATTATGAATTTAAATTGAAAACAGTAAGCATAATTGTGCATTATTCCACAGCTATGTGTGGTTTTTGCAGCAGGCAATAGCTGAATTAACCATTTTATTTCACAGGTACATTATATATACAGATAGATCATATAGATCTATCTATCTACATATATATATAGATAGATCTATATGATATATAGATAGATAGATAGATGATGTCACTCATCATAGGGAATTTGTACCCATATATGATATATCTTGATTCTTTTTTTTTCATTCCCCTCCTTTCCCTCCAACCGTCCTCCCCTCTTTATCTACAAAAGCCTTGTTTCCATTTTTTTCTTTCCACTCTTTTTTTCTTGCCCCTTCTTTCGTTTCCCCCACTCCCTCCATTGCCCTTCTCATTTGAAGTTGTGGCAAAGCAATATAATGAGGTAAAAGAAGGGGAAAAGATTTCAGGATGAATGAAAATTAATGATTATAGTGGTTGACTCCTGAATTTAGACAGAGTAAGAAGAGAAAAAGTGATATTTTTTTTTTTTACGGTTTTTATTCATTTTATTTTTTTCTTCTGTAAAAACCCTTATGTTGTGGCTACTGCTGTCCTCTGGACAGGCTCTGGTGTGGGTTTTCACAAGATGGTCAGTGAATTCCTGGTAGGGAGACGGTGAACACAGTCTCTTTCCAGAGGTCCAGGGTCAGACAGCTCTAGGTCTTGGAAATGGCATCAAAGTTGGCCTTGGTGAAGTTGCCCAGAGCAGGAGGGCAGCTGCTGGCAGAAGAGTAGCTGTCATCAATACCAACCACCAGCAGCTTCTTGGGCACAGGTGCTGAGACGTTGCCAGTGCCTGTGGGGACAGGGATCAGATGCACCAACACAGAACCACAGAGCCTGTCACCTTGCAAGGGACAGTGTGGGGCTTGCCAATCTTGTTCCCCCAGTAGCATCTCTGCACGGGGACGATGGAGAGCTTGGCCAGGATGATGGCCCCATGATGGCCACTTCCCCGGAACACTTTACACTTAGACCAACATGACTACTATAGTCGCCAGTGGTGACAAATGCCTTGAACTGGTCAGCTGGCCAGCAGCAGTTTGCTTCTTCACTGGCATGATCTTCAGAACTTCACCTTGAGGGATGTGCCCAGGAAAAAGTCAATAATCTCAGACCCCCTCGACGGGTAAGAGGAAGAGATAAATTTCCTCCAGGAGCTTGATCTTCATGTCCTTGACAAGTCAGCCCAACTTGGTGACAGGAATCCACTCCTTGTCCTCCACCTTACTGCCCTGAAGCCTCGGCCTTGAAGGACACTGCGAAAGCCTCCTGGGAAGCCACCATGGCCTCCCTTGCCAGGGTCTCTGGGCCCTCCTGCTGCACCAGTGTCATCTGCTATTTGGTTGCCATCACAGGAAGAGGCAAGACAGCTACAAAAAGGGAAGAGTCAGTAGACTACAGGGTCAAGGTGCATGCAAGGCTTGTTACATTGTAGAGGAACAGTCTAGAAAAGTGGGTGTCAAAGAATGGTGCTCAAAAAAAATTGAGATTATGTGGCTGTTGCAACTACTGGTAATGAAAAGGTCTAGGATATCATTATGGGCTGAAGGGCTAAAGCATGTGGGAGTAAGATTATTGGAGAACAGATACTCAAGGAACTAAGTGACCAGAATATTGGCAGGATCGCCCATGTGTTTATTAACATTACCAAGTATTAAGACAGGAATAGTGTACAGTGGGCCAGGAGATAAAAATCAAGAAATGAAGGACAGAGTTGGGCATGGCAGCCCATGTCTGTGATCCCAGTTACACAGGCAGCTGAAACAGGATGATCATACATTTGGTGCTAGGCTAGGCAACTTCATGAGACTCTTTCTGAAAATAAAAAGTTTTAATGGGAGGGGTGATTAAACTCAGTGGGAGAACATTTCCCTAGCATACATTAGGCCTTGAGTTCAAACCCCAGCTCCTCGAAAAAAAGGGGGGAGGGAAGGAAGGGAAAGATGAAAAGAAATTAATAGAAGTAGGGGAAATCGGAGATGTTGAAGTTATAAAGAAGTGCTGGAGATCTAATGGGCAGCACGATAATTATAGTTAGTAGTAATGTATTATATACTTGAAATTTGCTAAGAGAGCAGGTCTTAAGGATTCTTACCCTCAGTCAGGAGCCTGAGAACCAAGCTGTCTGGCAATTTTTCTCTCATGAGAGAAGATGTATTTTTAATTCTGTTTCCCATGTCTTCGGGGAGTTCCTGGATTGGAAAACAGGCCTATTAGCATGCATTTGTAGACCATCAGGCCAAAGACAATCTCTATAGGGGAAGATAGCAATATATGCCCTCCAGGTAACCTGAGGGATCTCCGTAGGACTTTGGGAGGGATTTCCCGAACTGTATGGTCTCCCCTTACTGACCCCAACTTCCTCTCCTCCTTCCTATCCTTTTCAGAGTCACTGCCAATAACTTAACCTACTTCGTGTAGAACAAACGCCAGTTCACGCATCTCTCTGCGTTCAAGTTATTAGTGTTGCCTTAAGACCAGGGGATACAATACAATTATAGCTGTCATTCCATATAAGAAGAGTGACTGAAAAATATGGTGCATGCTTAAATTCTTTTAAATGCATTGCAATAAAAGACACATTGCCACGAATCCACGTCAAAATACTAGCCCTCGCTTTGAACGTGCTTATTCCATCATTCTTGCCACTTTCCGAAGCAGTTCTAGAAGTCTGATTCTGTGGTTGTCTTTAGTCACTTTCTTGTAGCTGCCCTGATGTCCTGAATCCATTCCAAACATTTACTATCTTGCTCGTTTTGACTTTGAGGAAGAGTTAGAAGTTGCATGGTGCCAGATCAGTGAATAATAAGCTGGAAGACGACATCCTGTACTGTTTCTCTGAGCATGCCTTTCTGTTGGATGGCACTCAGTGACTATTTGGTCACACCTTGTAAAGACACTCAGGAAAGAGGACTTCGGAACTACTCCAGGAAGCGGCAAGAACAATGGGATGCGTGGATTTGAAGTGAGGGAGGAACTTTTGAGGGAGACTAATTGTAATGCAACTTTTACTTTAATTTATGAAAATGTAAATACATACCACATATTTAGATCACGCTTTGTGCATCAGGTAAACTTTCTAGTACATTAATTTGATTACAATGCTAAACTTTGTGTATAACAGTCTTTGCTTTATCTCCGATTCAATCATGTCAGCCACTGTTAGCTAAAACAATAATAAAAGATTACTTCTGGCAAGCTGGGAGCCCCTTCCCTTCCGCAATCTCCTTCTGTTTTTCACGTGTTTTCTTCATTTTCTTAAAGGACCTCCCTGTCAGATGACCATAATAAAATGGCTGCTCTTCATTCATTGTGACATTACTATCATGTTTTAGGGGATGTGGTTCAGTGGCAGAGTGACTGCTTATTATGCATGAGGCCTTGAGTTCAATCTCCCTGTCAATGCCAAAAATCAACCTAAAAAAATAATTTTGAAGATGTTTATTCATAACCCAGAACTGAATCCACACATGGCTCCACTGTCCCAGTTAAAATACCATATTCAACCATTTCCAACAAAAGTGTCTGTGGAGTGTATGTGTGGAGTGTATGTGTATGTGGAGTGTATGTGTCTGGCACAACAGCGTTTTACCCTCAAGTGCATTTTCCTGAGTAGCATTAGATCATGAAGTTTTCAGTCTTTTTTTCTCTTTTCAAAAATATAACTTCTTATAAAATAGTTATATGTCAATCACATTACTGTGCAATGATAAATAGGATGGACACAAAGCAAATTTTGAAGAAAACAAGTAGATGGCACACTCTACTGCACTTCTCACTAATCTTTAACTCTCGACATTCCCTGATCCAGGCTTGATTAGAATGACCCTTTCTAATTCAACCTCCTTAGATTAAGTTTTTATGCTATTTGATTTATGTACTTTTGGTTTTGCCTAAATAATTCAAAAACTTTTGAGTAAATGAATACTAAATTAAATAACTATCTCAATTAATTCACTTGTCAATCCTTAAAAATCATTTTAAATGATTGTGAAAATTTACTCAGCTCACACACAGACACATACCTATACATATATAATTAGCAAAAATATTTACAGTTTTCATTGTAAGGTCTGATATGAAGAATTTGATATTCTTTTATAAAATGCTTAAGGTTAAATCTTTTGAACCTTTAACATAGGTGGAACATATTTCATTTTTTGAGAGAAAGATGAAAATCTTTGCTGCTTTCTAATTGTCAGCTATTATTGAGCCACATTCTAGGATTTATTTTCCAAATTGTAAGGCTTCAGTATAAAAAGACAGTATTACACATTTGTCAATTCTCTCATATTTTAAGAAAGAATGTTACTCTTAAAACAGTTATTAAAGATGAAGAGCATTGCATTCCACCAGTAATTTTTAAACAATAGCAATTTCCAATATGTATACTGAAGTGAAATTTAGCATCCTCATCAAATATCTATTAAGGAATTACATTTAGATGAACAGTATTTATTTTTAATATTATTCACTTCAACAGAGCTTTTAAGTGCTTAAATTATCAGTAACTACTTAACATGAATTCTTCTGAAATAGAAATTCAACTTTTATAGGGTAAAAATTTAACTAACCTTAAGTGAATTGACATGTAAATTAAAATGTTCACAATTAGAATTTTAAAGTTATGTTACAAAAGAAACAAATTTCTTTGTTTTAAGTGACTTTAATGAGAACATGCAGTAATTGAAAGTAAAACCTTCCCAATTACAATCAGGTAAATTCTAACTTTGATAATAATAATTCTTGAAAGTTTAAATTCATTTTTCATCAATTTGCATTATATTAAAAAAATACAAATTTGTCCTCCTTAGATGTTATGCTGACATTTACACTTATTGCTGCCTGTTTGCAATGAAGCATTCTTTTAAGCTACTTCAAGTATTTTTGAAAAAGAAAAACAAAAAAAAATCATTACATATGACTAGCATTTCTTTTTCTTGCCCATATAAATATCTTCTTTGATCTCCAGAGTTTTTTTCTTTTATTGAGTTTATTGGTACATTTTAGGTATACAGTACAATTACATTCATTATTGGAATCTTGTACCTTTACATGACAAGTCTTGGTTCCAGAGTTTAAGATAAAATCAAACACTACACAGTACTATTTACTGTAGTCTTTCATGTAAGTTGTAAGAAGATAAAATCATACTTTTTAAATATTTAAGTAGAAGGTAGTAAGATACTAAATTACTGTAATAAGCAATTTTACAAATAGGTTCTGGAAACAATCAAAATGTCATTCACTTATATAAGTTGTTACAGGTTGGTGTTATTTTTATTTTATTATTTCTTGTGACAATACAAGCTTTATACACACTTCTGGTTCTTACCAAGGCATTATCAACTTAAATGTAATTGATCAAAATATTAAAAAGGAAGTTAGCCTATTCTATCTAGCACGTATTCTCAATACAGTTCTAGTATTCTGCAGCCACTAAAATCCACAGGACAATTTAAAACTGACACTGATGTGAATAGCTACCTAACTCATTTCTCCAATATTTATTATAGTCTATATGGCAATTTAAAGAATTTTGAATTTTTCTAGCAGTAACATTTCAGAGAAGATGGGCTTTCCCTCTAGACCTAGGCATGAACCACAGTCTACACTAAGAGTATAACCTCAACCTCCTTTGTTAATGGTTGATAAGATCATGTTCTTTCTAGTTCTGTCCAATAAAACATGAAGGGAAGTCTGCTGTGTGTACTTTGGAGAAGCTTTTGCTACAGGTAATACAATTCTTCCTTGTGCCTTGAATGTACAAAAATGTACCGGTCTTGTGACAGAGGTATTAAATCTAGCACCCTAGGCCAGCATACTGAGGATTGCAGAGAAGAGGGCACAAGAGTTGTTGAACACCATATCTGGAATCTTGCGTTTGGAGGCTTCTTGTTTTGTGAAATAGCTGAATGGTTTTGTGGATTGTGTAAGTAAAAAATAAGTAATATGGTCCTTGTAGCAAAAAAAAAAAAAAACAACTAATTTTCTGAAAATTAAAAAATGATAATTTTCAATTATGTAGTGCTTTTTAGTTACACCTCTTTGGAGAGAAATGTTTTTCTCTTTCATACTTTTTCTTGCCTTATGTTGCATACTTAGTCTCATTTCTGATATGATTGTACTACAATAGAAGAGGCTTTATGAAATTACACAGAATTAAGTGCTCTGAAAGTCCCCTTTCCCTGCCTTTGTGATGTGCCAACTTTTAAAGTACAATCAGATCTCCATATCCATGATTTCTGCTCTAAAGTTTTTGTATATGAGGATTCAAGCCAACCATGGGTGGAAATATTTTTTTTTAATTGCATCTGTACTGAACTTGTGTAAGGTTTTTTCCTTGTTATTAGTACCTTAAAAATTTAAAAATGGTATACATAGCATTTATTTTGTACTAACATTACAAGTAATCTAAAGGTTATTTAAAGTATATTAGAGGATGTACGTAGGTTACATGCAGATACCATGCCCTTTTACACGAGGGACTTGAGCATCCCTGGGTTTTGGTATTATCAGAGTGGTGACAAAAGGGAACCATATCAGAATTAATATCCTGTGGGTACTAAGGGATCGCTCTAACTGATCTTTCCCTAAACCCCATCCTCAACATTAGAATGTGTTTTCAGGAAATGATATTAGAAAGTTACCACCTTAAAGTGATTTTAAAATCAAGATGATAAGAACTGGGAGCATAGCCTAGTGGTAGAACATTTGCTAGCATGAACAATGCCCTGGGTTTCATCCCCATCACAGAAAAAAATAAAAAATCAAGATGCTATGATACCCTTAGATGATCATATTTATTTGTTTGTTTCTTTCTTTCTTTCTTTATTGTCCTAGGGATTCAACCAGGGCCTTCACACTGAGCTACATACTCAGAACTTTTTATTTTATTTTCACTTGCTTCAGTGACCTGAGGACTCGTTAAAAACTCAGACTAATAGCCCCATCCCAGGAGTGGTGAAACTTGATTTTTTAAATGTGGGACCCAGAAATGTACATTGTAATAGGCTCCCTTGTTAAAGACAAAGAGCCACGCGTTTACAGTGATTTATTTTTTATAGAGTTGGGTAGAAGTTAAAAGAGACTTTGAGATGAGGTGTCTGAGACCCTTAAACAATCCTGACGAAGTGGGCCAACTGGGGGCTTCCTTGGCCATTTGCCATGTTACAATGTTCTCTAGACTATG